AGCCTATTAATTTGCACCGTGTATGCTAACTGTAAACAAACCTGGACAAAGATACATGTTTATGACTTTGATACATGTTTGTAGTGCTGTCATACCACAAATAACATTTGATTCAATTTGAGGAAATTTTTGTCAACACAACTCTTGTTCATTCAGTACTTTATAAGGCATGGACCATGTACACCTATATTCAGTGATTTCTAATGAAAATAAATGATTGTTTTACTTACAGTTGGGGCAAAAAGTTCACATATGCTTGGTTGAAACACAGTTTTCCTAAGTTTGTCACTGTTTGAAATAGTTTTGCTAACTTTTTTTCAATGAGGTCAGACAAGTTGTCTCAACTTAATGTTCATAGTGAGTACTTCAATTGAAAATACTGAGAGACATTTATTGTGGTTCAGGTAAAAAATAAAGAAAATCCACCCCTTGCTGTTCACCATCAGCAGAGGATACATTTCTGCAAATCGAATATCACATACACCAAATAGAGTAACAATGTTAACATTTCAATGTTTAAAACAGTTTTCAAAATGCACTATTAAGGAAACAAATCGTCTTCACATTAATTAATTGCCATGTGTAAGGTACATAACATTGTTACTCATAGTTTTTACTCATAATGTAGAAAATTCTAGACAAAATTAAGTTCATGTATTGGAAAATGCATCTTGAAATAGGAAGTCATTTCCATAGAGATATTAAGTCACGAAATCTACTTTATTTTGTGCATTATGGTGATGTGCATTTATGTAGATGAGGTTATATTTATTTACACTTTATTTTATTTTTATTTATTTAGATCAAGAAATCATTCTTTTTTATGTTTGAGCAACTCACTGTTTTCCAAATAAGACCGTCTGAGCTGTGAATAAATTAAAGTTAGTCTTGCGTCTTGGGATTCATTCAGGCAAATGAAACAAATTTATTGAGTACAATCAAAACAACATTTTTAAGAGGGAGATGGGGACAAGACTTTGGATTCTCTTTGTGTGTTTCTTTTTGCGCCCTTTTATACAAAAGGGCTAAATTTTGAGTCTCTCAACACACCTTGGGAAAGAAGGGAAATTCAGTGGTTCTTAAAGTAGCCTTTTCCTCATTTTATATCAAGATATTTTTTTCCTTTTTGCTGGGTGGGTGGGATGGGGTGGGAAATGGACACCATCCCCCCATTCACATATTTTCTACAACTACAGTGTATCATAAAAATGCCATCCCCGTTGTTCGGTTTATAAAATGAAGTAAACACAGGCTATTTGGAGTGGTTTACGCCCCATTGATCGTATCCATTACTCTTAGGGCAAACCAGTGACCGCAGATCTCTTCTGCAAAGTTGAAGGAAGCATTGTGTGAGAAAACCATGTACGCTGGCGCATTCCTAGTGATGGGCCCTTTACCGCATTCAGGGATAACGACCGAGGCCCATAGTTACTTGTGAAATCGTATCTGTCAGGTAAAAAGAGTTCAAAGCTGAAGTTAGCGGCTTGTGTAGCCAGCGTGGTAGGTTTGACTGTGCCAACTTTTTAAAGCCATTTAAAAGACAAGACGACATCCAACTTGGATTATCCATATTTTAACACCCACGGTTAACATTTTCATTGTCGCAAAACGCAACTCGTTACGAAACCTGTACCAATGCCGTGAAGTATACATTTAAAAAGACGGAGTAATATGAAAAATTGTCTTTACGAGAATGTAGTTTCCCAGAGTTCAATTTTACTAGATGCATTTTTCCTCAGTTCGGTCTTATGAGATTTATTTTTGAAAACATTTGATTTGTAGTTTTGGAAGGAAATCGTTAAAAGAGATAGTTTTTCAAGTTTGTTTTTTGAGATATTTTTAAAGTGCGTTTTTAAGAGTTATTTTTGTTTTCTCAATGACGCAATCTACGTTCAGAATTCGCATCTTGGCGTGAACAGAAAAAAAAGCCCTTTTGAGCTTGTTACAGTTGAGCTCTGAAGACAAATGACACAGCGTTCGATTTGGATGCTTCCATATTTATTTCCCTAGAGGTGCTTTTTAAGCCCCTCAAATGGTACATAACCAGGCATTGGTTGACAATTCTGATGTAATCATAGTTGGTTTATAAACACGCGGATTGTTTTTCGTAAATTCTGTCTTTGAGAGCAGATCCCGATTCGTTTTCCAAGAGCAATTTGGTAATTATACTTGCAATATTTGCCATACATAAAAGCAAGAATGAAAGTCAGTGCTGAAAATAGAATAGTACTTTTAATATCTTTATTGATAACCTACTATCTTGACCATAGCTGAAGAACAAGCATAAAGATGTTGGGAACTCTTCTAAATTAATATCTTTCAGACATTCATGCAAAACTGCGGAGCTCTAGAAGTGCCATAACGATTTGTTGAGATCCTGCAATACTCTTTCTTGGGATGACGACATCGTAGAGGTAAGATGTCGACATCCTGAGATAATTTTTTTTGGGGGGATGACGACATCCCAAGATATTTTATCATGGATGACGACATCGTAAAAGTGGAATAATGACATTATTTGTGAATGGGTGCATCATGACAAACCATCTTGAAAAAGCACAGGTGACCTGAAGTGCTCCTGTCTTTTAAAGCATTTTCTTTCTATTGCCATATATGATATTAATTAGAATGATAAAACGTCATGATGCATCACCGCTTGTTACAAGCAGTGAAGTAGGCCTAGACATCACGTTTGCTGGGTGTCTCTGGATGCCAACATCCTGAGATAATGATTACCTCAGGATGTCGTCACCGAACTTTTAGGATGTCGTCATCCCGTGATAAATTATCTCAAGATGTCGACATCTCTCGTTTATTGTGGCCTCATCCTGAAAAAATATGTCAGGATCTCAACAATTCGGATGGCACTTCCAGAGTTCCGTACAAAACTACACCCCAAAGCACGACATTTATCAAAAATTAGTTTAAAACGCTAGTGTAAAGGATGAAAAATGACAATATTACATGTACCTGACAACAGAAAGAGATGCCTTTGTCGGTCAATGCTGCGAAATTCACTACCATACTGACCATTACCTAGATAAGACTACAGTAAACATGTATATATCCGAGCAATAAACTTGGAAAAAAAACTATTGTTTCCCATCAAACCGATTTTTTTCCTCAAATAGAAACAAGCTTTCTGAAAACATCTCGTAAAAGCGAACTGAAAAGTATATCTCTCGAAAAAACGAACTCTGGAAACATACCTGTACATGAGTATCTCACACACTAATTTTTAACATTGCAGATAGGCTTATTTTTATGAAACATTCAGTTAACATTTGGCGTGGCTTTATTTAAAGTTGAACCACGATATAGTAAAAGTTGAGTTCGACGTTTGGAAGTAAAACTGGAACATTTGAAAAATGATGTTTGGCTGTCAGTTTTAGAACACCATACCATTGGCTTTTGTATATATCCTATTAAGTTGGCTGAGAAAGAAAACAAAAACTTTAAACAGTTTCATTTTGAATCATCAGTCAGCTGTGATGCGCATGGGGGAAACCATTGCCTCTCCCATCCCCAGAAAAAAGAAACAGCACACCGTAAAATAATAAAGGGTTCAAAAGATTTTGGCACCGCATAATAGGATCATTGGATATTACAGGATACCGCTGCATTGTAATGAGCCGTCAAGGCGGTGCGCCCTCCATTCAATAATAATCGAATTTTATCTCCGCCCCAGTGGTTGGTTTGTTTGGTTTTTACTGAGTGCCAAACGGCTGTTTGAGTGTATGAGATCAAAATTAGGCGAAATCAATGTCCATATTGTGAGTTTTGTTTTTTATATTTCTGGCCTTTGAAGAAAACCTGAATTTCTAATCCGAAAGGGTGCTAATGTCCATAGACATAAAATAAAGGTTTTAATTGTCTTTATCATTATTCATGGAGCAAATAATAGTCAAACATACAACAGCCGTTTGGAAAATTAATTTCAAGCAATCAAACGAAACACGTGCGGCAGGTTCTCTTTGGCTGTAGACGCACGCTTGAGTGACAGCTGATGAACTGATTTTGCAGGGCAATCTTACAGAAAGAAGGCAGTGGTTGGTTGGCACAGTCCCGGCATTGGGCTCCATGCTTAGTTCCACCAATCTGTAGCCGGCTCCACTGTCTCACTCAGTCCCAAACCTGCAACGTTCAGTTGACAAGCCATTATCTTGTCCATTATCTCGTTTTATTTGACAACGCTGAGGGCCAAAATGTTGGACGGCAGCCTGACGTCATGCACTCGTACTTCGCACTCTGCTGATACCGCGGGCGAGCTGCGGTTGTGCGGTACGGGGTAGGTGTGATTCAACTACTCGCACCCTGGAAAATTGTAAACAGTTTGCATCGAAACATCGAGTTAGTCACATGAGAAGTTACTCGCCATCAAGATGCGTTGTAAGCTGAAAAGAATTGCCTCCACCTTGCTTTTTGGACTGGCCTGCTCCATCATCACGGCACTACACATCTCCAGCAAGCAGCTTTCGAATGGAAAGTCGCCAGAGAGCAGGGATCGGTCCAGACACCGGGACCAGGAACTTGCCGGCCACGAGATGGAGCCCGCCGTCGTCCATCCCAGGCCCGTGAAACAACAGCAGCAAGACTCCTTGGGTGTCAGATTACAACGCGAGATGGCGTGGGCCGTGGATGACACAGGTTCAGATTTGGTGAACTTACAACAACAACGACCTAAGAAAGTTGACAATGACAGCCAAGTGTGGATGAAACATTCTGGTCTTGTGGCCCCTGCCAATCCGTTAGACACAAGGAAGGCAATACAGAGTCAAACAGGCAGCCAGCCCAGCCAAACTGTCCAAGTTGTGAGAAATTCACAAAAAGTGGACCGGGGAATAAATTCTTCAAATCTCTCCCGGACTGAGCTGGAGGATATTTTTATCGGGGTCAAAACAACAGGAGCCTACCACAAAACCCGAGTGCAACTTATTCTAGACACCTGGCTGCCGCTAGCTCAAAAACAGGTGGGTAAATTCATTAATTTCTCGTAGTCATGTTATTTTGCTTTGCCCTTTTTTGTGGGAGATCCAGATATCAAATAAAAAATACTGATATTTTGGGCAAGTAATGGTCACATGATGGTAAGAGATTGATGACGGAGAACCTAAATTTGTTCTTGTTATCTTTTACTTTTTAGTAAAATTATGTATTCACTTAAGTTTGAAAATGTTGCTTACCTAAATGTTCGTTGGTGAGAAAAAACTTTGAAGAATGACAAACATATTGTAAAAAATCCAGAAAGATTTTGATTTTCTTTGTCAGGCAGTGTGTGAAATTTTAATTGTTGGAAAAATTGCTCAAGAGTGAAAATTCAAAACTGTCAAACAACGAAAGTAATACATCTGACAGAAACAAGTCCAAAAGTTTTTACTTTTTGTGATTACTTTGAGCAGAAGCTTGGATATGGTATTATGTAATCTGAGATTCATTTTTTGTAGAAAAGCCATTTTTTTTTCATGCTTACATATTTATTGTATTCCACTTGTACAAGTATTTTCACTTTGTATGAAAAGCTGGCTGATTGTCAGAGTCATTTTTCTATTTATGATTACAAGATCGGGCTGGAGGCCCCTTTTCAATCTTTCAATTCTTTGCCACCAAAGAAGTTTAGAAATTGTGGTAAAATCATTCTGAAATGTATCATGCTGTGGAAGTCTAGTCCAGAAATTGTGTGAAAATTTTACTTTTCAACCTATTTTCTGAACTTAGTGTGTGGGTTGGAAGTGAAATTTGCAGATCAAAGACCTTTTTGTGCTGTGAAATGTCTAGACTTTGTTCGATTTTCCTTTGAAGTTTGGCCATTTTCTGACTGAGCTGTGACACTCTGAAGGTCTGTAATAAAAAAAATGAAGATTGAAAGAAAACACAGTAGGTTACTCCCCACTTCAATAGGGAGTCGCAAATTCAAGCTCTTTCTGTTATCTTTTGTTTCGACCTGAGAGACCGATTTTGAAGTTTAACTGTGGTGCTAAGTCGACCTGAAATAATGTGACTAAACCATTGATTCAAGCTGTGCTGTTCTCCTTGAGAGAGGTCAGTTGTTCAATAAAAGCTGTACTCACGGTATTGAAGGGAAAAAATTCCAAATCCTTCTAAAAATGGGATTTAACCGCAATGCGGTGTCAACAGCCTGTCGTAGAAATCCAAATAGTGTGCTGATTTTTATGGTAGGAAGTCAGCACACCTTAAATTGAAAACTGGATGCAGTTGAAAAGTATGGGGTGGGCCTGACAAGTACATGTACACTGACTGTAGCGCACCAATGCAAACCATTACTAGCGATTGTAAGAGAGGCATTTTCCAGCTGTATAAAGCGAGGGATAAACCGATGAATGGAGTAATGAGCGTGCCCTCCCATTCACACTATTATGACATGAGTTTAGGTTTGATGTCAACTTAGCTTAAGAGCAAATCCACTTTAAAGCCTTCCCTATCCATACACTCCATTGTTGTCTTCACTGTTGCAATATTGTGAGCCGTTATTCTAACATAAATTTAGGGTCAGAAGTGTGTCTGGAGTTGAGTTTAGCCAGTCGATTCAAATAAATCTCTGGATTCAGTGTTGACCATTTCCCATGTTCAGTTGTTTATCACTGCACATATTATAGGCTCAAGACAACAGGGGATCTAGTCACAAGTGACCGTTTTAATTACACATTACTCAGGAAATGTGATTGTGTTGTTGAGTGTGTGTAGTTATCCTGAACCTTTCAGACTAGGAGTAGAGATCCACTGGTCTTATAAATTAAAATAAAACAGGGTAGAATAGTAGAATTTAACAAAAAAAGTCCTTAAAAAATTCTGATCATTTTTTCCAGATTTTGTAAATATTTAAGAACAAAATTGAAATATTTTCTCCCAAGTATTATGAGGGAACCAAAAAAAAAAAATCGTGCGGTGAATACATCTTAAGTATATTGTTGACTGTACATGTAGGTAGTCTCTTGTCACAAGTGCTCTCAGAAATTGTGTTTTCGTCCTCTGACCTGGGATAATGTGAAGGAAAAGATAAATTTAAAATTGATTACTCTTAGTCCGCCATCTGGCTCTGCCGAATTTCACGCTATGCGTGTAATTCAATGTGGTGTCTTGCAGTTCATTCTGTGGTTGTCATTTCTGACCGACTGTCATTTTGTCTCCAACCGAGGAAAAACTGTTTGTTCTGCGGCTGACCTATCTGGGATTTCCTTCCAAAAAAAAAAAATTAGAGAAAAAATGATGCATGTAATCTGAAGACCTTAAGGAAAAAAGTACTTTTTTAATAAAACAATAAACAGACACTGGCCCTAGAAATAATGTCAATTTACCACAACATTTCATTACTATTAATGCATGAGTTGGTAGATAACCTCATTACAGTGGATCCATGTAAGTACTTGAAAATGAAGGCATCAAGATGTGCATTCAGGAGTTTCAAAGCCAATTTTTCAAATGTGCTGGTACAGGAAAAACACTGCAAACCATATTTGAGAATGCTTATCGGATACTGTGTACTATTCACAAAGGTCTTGACAGGTTTCAAATTTACATGTTTGTCACTCACCTGTAGGCACATTTAAATTTCAATTTCCGTGTACTTTGTGAGGTACATGTACATGTATCTACCCATGTTGTGAACAATTGGGCTCGACCATGTATTCCAGTGTTGTTTTTTTCAGGATCAAAAATTTTGTGTAAATGAACGGGTTAAATTTTTTTTTTTTGTGAGCACTGAGCACTTCTACATGTAAATCAAACGCAATACATGTTACGTGTGCAGAAATCATTCAGAGATGGACACCATATACATGTATGATCACTACCAAGGAAACTCAAGAGACAAAATCCAATACTGGTAACTCTGTGTTTATAGTCCATGCAATAAATGATATTGGTTGTGCTTAAATTTAAGCGTGAATAACGTCCCTCACAAGTTCATTTACATGTGTATGGATGTGTTTATGTCAAGGGTGCCAATCATTATTTACATACTGCACATTTGACCTTTGGACTCGGCAATTTTCTGCAGATGCAGATCAGGAGTTCCTTCAACAGATATATGATGTACATTTTAAAACTACATGCAAAGTTGTTGCTAGTGCATATGTTCTTCCTTTTTGTATTCAAACAAATCTGTTCAAACAAGAATTTTTTCCAAGATAGTTGGACCTTACTTTCGCATAATAAGCATAGTTTTTGCCAGAGATTGCAAAAGGGTGGTTGATTATTTCAGAAGCAACAGCTAATTTGCAANGATTGCATACTGGTAACAAATGCTGTGCATCTGGGTTGAGACACTGATTAGGCCTGCAGAAGAAAAAAGCAATAAATGCTTCCCGTTTCCCTGCCTGTGGTACCAGATTCCTATTTTGACTGTTTTTGAGGGGAAAATTTGGGAAGATTGAATATTGGAAACTCGTAGATAAAGAAAAAAGTGGGGATTTCAGTTTGAATGCGGTGCAAAAGCTTCAGCAGACATGCTCACAACAAGGAGCCTCTGAAGCCTTGATCATTTCATGTGAAATAAATGCCACCCGATGTCTCTTGCTGTTGTTAGTTTAACTAATTACTGGTACCATACACCGGATTAGTAAACGGTGCAAACAATTGTTTTCCTTATCTACCTACCCTGTTTTCAGATGCCGTGCAATGAGAACTGGGAAGCAGATCAAATTTTTTTGGGGGGGGGTAAAATTCAGTTGTCACTGTTGAAACAATGGTTGTATAATTGCCAACCACTTTCATGCAACCTGCAGTAGCCCACATAAATAATACAGTTTTTCAGTGCTCGTCTCCGAAGAACATAATTTGGGTCCAGGGGAGTGAGAGCGGGCATTCTAAGTATGGTCCACACCAATCTGGATCAGCTGGTATGCGGATCAGACCAATGGCAGGCTGGGCTTCCTCGCGCGCTTTCCCAGTTTGCGCGGGAAGGCCGCCACTTTCTTGGTTTTCCCCACCATACATGTTTGCATCAAAATCCCACCTTCCCACCCAGGTTGGGTCAACTTGTGGAAATTTAGGCAACATGTTAAGCCACATTGACTCCTATCGTGTGGAAATGGCTTGTACATGTACATTGTGGTTGCTTCGTTAAAAAATATATAATTAAATAGGTGGGTCGTTGGGCTTATCTTAGACTGGATGATTTGGATCCAGCCTATTTTCGTTTAGACTATCCCCTGAAACTCTTTTGTACTTTTAAGATTTTCTTTGGCCATAGGGTTGACCTCATTGGTGACCTGCCAGGCTTGGAAATTATGGTTTGGACCGGGTAGCCCCATTAAGCGGGTACTGCCTTACCGGCTTACATGTACATGGTATGTTCTTCATAAAATGGACCAAAATGCAACCTCGGTTGTCATTTTTCAAAACTTCTAAAAGAGTGACTTTGATCATGTAAAATACAAATTAGCACCTTCAGATTTATAAAAATGATTATATGGGGATAATTAGGCATAATATGTA